AGATGTACTACTGGCTGCGAGCAAGCATGTGTTCAGCAAAGAACAGAAGAACCTGCTGTTACACTGACGTATATAAAATTTAATCTGTAATGGCTTTAAAATTAAGCCTTTAAAATAAAATGAGTTTACATTTCATTGCAGATCTACTTTAATCTGCTGTATTAGAGAATAAGCAGATGTGTTAAGTTTCTCAAGATACAAAATGGACAAACTGAAGTGTCTCTCACAATCTCAGGACTAGATATCAAAGCATTTAAGCAACTCTATGAAAACAGGCCATGTTTTTAGGGGGAAAAAAAATTGTCTACTGGTTGCTTATAAATTTGGTCCCAACTACAGAATCTCTCTTAGCGCTCCTTCCCAAAGCGTTTTGCAAATCCTTTCCAAAAACACTCTCCTCATTAGGCCATAAAGCAAGGAGCAGGACTGCAAGCTGGCCATCCAAATCAATTATTTGCTCTTTCACACTAGATTAAATGTTGAGTAACCACCACCTTCAGTGGAGTTACAATGGTGTAAGTCAGAAATGAGGACAGAATTTAGTGTAATACTTCCATTAACTCTTAGTTACTTGTGACAGAACAGGAGGAGATGATCTTCTGATATATTTGGATAGTACTAAGACTGCACATAAACTCTATTTTTGCAAGTCAAAACAGAAGAGTTATGGCCAATTTTATGGTCTTTAACAGAAAATAGATGCTGTTTGCTGTACATTAGTTGTTCACAGACTTAAAATTTTCTCTTAAAAAACATTTACCCTTGTATAACCTACTGCCTATAAGCTTGCTTTTCATTCACCTTTCCTAGACCTTTTAGGAAAATTTCATGGATGCTGAGGGGTCTGCAAAACACTGCAGCAGATCAAGCAAAGTCTGGGAAATACTCACTCTCTGTAGCACCCATCACTCTCAAACACACTTGCTATAAGACTACACAAACTCCACTATACAGAAAAACCTGGCAAATTTAGAGAAGGCATAGAAATGCTTTCAGACCCTTTACAAGCACCCTCTGTAGATGTGTCAAACATCCTTCTTGCAAACACGAAGACAAGCCTTAACAGCACTCAAAACTTACCTGGGACCTCACAAACAGCAGTCAGCAGCACTAGAGACCCCAGATGTGGAGGAAACAGCTGGAGTTCTGATTTCTTCACTAGACAGCTGGAGATTTCCCAATAAAAGTCAACGCAGCTTTCGATCCCAACTTTTCGCTGTTCCAGCTGCACATTGTGGATCCCTGGGGAATGCACTGGCTGAGGAATTCCTGGTAGCATGGTTTCATAAAGCAATGTATATATCTGGTTTGTTTCTTATTGTCATGGGATTAAATCACATGTTGAGCTTTACTTTGGCTAATAACATAAGTCAAGAAGTAGAATCCTACAGAAGAGATTCAATATGCCAGTGATATAGGAGAAGAACAAACTTTGGCCTTTCAATACTATTCCAGTTTCAAAAACCAGTATAAAATCTTTGAGATGGTGGTAGCCCCAAAGCAGAGGGGAGAGACTAGAGCAAAGAGAATTTAAATGCTTCTGTCCAGGCTGTTTGAGGAAAGACATGGCAGAGCCCGTTCTTTGCTCGTTTTCATCAGTTCCATTACTTTTGCTTTCAAAGGTACAAAAATTTTGTTATGCACTATGGTAAAAAAAGTGTTTTGCCATATAAAATAAGTACGCTTCCTTATCGCACACTTATACCAACATATGGAAAGATTGTATAGTCTAAACACGTCATTTGTCAACAGCTTGTAAATCAGGTTTTTTTAAGTAGTAACATTAGTCATTAATTGTTTTAAACTTAACAAGTGAACACTCGAACAGGAAATATGATACATAAACAGGAACAAAGTCTTCAACACAGTATTCAGTAAATATACCAGTCAAAGTCTGGCCAGTCTGTTAGTAGCCATCATCAACAGTTCTAAACACAACTGTTGGTTGTACAGCATATGTACTCCCGGTGATGTTTGTATAGTCTGCCACCAAGCAATGGAAAACAATTTTTTTTCCCTTACTACCCTTTAGCAGTAACGTCTTTAAATCTAGTCCCCTTTCTCTCCAAATTTTTAGGGTCCAAAACCTTACTGCAACTTTTGGTTGTACATTACTCTCATGACTGAAACCAAATGCTTCCAGTTCCCATTTGCGTGCCAGGAATATTCATATACATGCCCCTTATTCAACTTTTATTGAAATAGTAAATTGTAGTAAATGGACACCAAACAGATTCAACTGCAAAATATGACCTCTGTTTGGTCCATTTTTGTATCTCAGTCAGTACACGAACTTGAGGAGGAAAGGTGAACCTTTCCGAAAACCCTGAAGTGGCTGCACTGGAATCTGAGCAGGGAAAACCCAACTACTCATAGCTATAAGACCAGTTTGTTCCCTCTTTTGAAGTCCAGCTCTAGACCAAGTTTTATGCTCATATTTAATGGTAAAAATCACGTTTCAATTCATGAGACATCTGAACTCCTATTTGCAGGGGCAAATTTGAGTAGCAACCGCATTACCAGAATCATGTGCACCAGAGAAGGGAAAAGGAGTAGAAGAGACAGACAAACATTGAGAGAAAATGTGTAAAGTGGTATTATGTTATTAAAACATTACATTAGAAATAAACAAAACATAAACCAAAAAAAGGTTTTAACCAGGTTTAACTTTTTTCTTTTTTTTTAAATTCAAATTGACCCAAAGCAAAAACTTACATTGCAAAGGAAGAACAAAATACATTATAATATTGGTAACAGTGTTGCATGGAAGCTAGATCTGTGGGCAGGTTGCAAGTTGCTCTTGTCACAAGGTCATTGAGGGCTCTTGACAGATTTAAGTGAGAAAGTTAGGATCCAAATTTTTTTCATCTAAGCCCAGGTTCACCCTGGTAAACACGCTACATATTCTCTTTTGCCTCTGGGTATTTATCCGATGAGTTTGTCCAGATGTGTTCTCCTATGATTGCCAACTAGAGCCAGAAAACTGAATTTTCCACGCTATCCTGAGGAAGCCAGAGTTATTCCAAGCATGAGTGATAATGAATTAAAAAAAAAAAAAAAAAAACCCAAAAAAAAAAACCCAACCAAAACCCCAAAAAAAAAAAAAAACCCAAAACACAAAACCACACCAAAACCCCAAAACAAACAAAAAAAACCACTCAAGAGCTTTTCAAATTAACAAGTATTGTCTATAGTGTAAATAGTTTAGAAATATGGTAATTAAATAATCTAAAAAACACTCTTACTCTGCTGTACATTTATAAACATAAATATTTACAAAACCTTTCTGCTTTGTTTTAAAGGATGAGGTTTGCAGTTTGTTAATGATCAGAGTCTTTTACTCATATTGATTCTTTGGTGTATTTGCCAATTTTTTAAGGTTTATTAAAAGTGTTCAGCTGTGAATTTTAAGGTAATGGAACTAGGCTACATAACAAGTCTATATTATGCACTTCTCCTTCCACATTCTAGTCCAAATGAAAAACAAAGTTCAGTTTGTTCTTCAAAGTATTTGTGCACAATATTTAAAATAATAAAAAAAGACCAGATTCCCCATTATTGAAATTTGGGTAGGATTAACAATGAATAATCATACTTCACTTGCACTCGAGCACGTGTATAACTTAAGATAGTGAACGGGACAGTCAGTAGGTTCACAGACACACATGTGCTGCAGTGCTTTGCTGAATCAAGGCCAGAGAAACAAGCTACAAGAAATGGCTTAGCATTGTAAGAAAGGGCGAGGGCTTCCCTCCACCTTGGGAAGGGGAGAGAGGATAGGGTGAAAGTGAATTTAAAAGAAAGCCTTTTTACTGGCCTGAAATGTATCTGTGTTCCCTTTAGATGTCAGTTACTTAAAAGAAATAACCAAAAAACAAACCTCAAACAATAAATAATGGAATTACACATTTCTTCATTAAATAGCATTCTTGTTACCAAAGTCTTCCATAATTTTCTTCAGTCACAGCAACAGACAGAACAAATAATTTGCCTTAATATAGATTGCAACTAAAATATACTCTAGATTACCTTAAAAAATATTACTGTAAAAATTCAGTGGGGAAGGACATTGGTTTAGACCAACTTACAAACGTAGTGAACAATACTAAGTATTTTTTAAAAAAAAGGAAGCAATTTTAAGGTTCTGATCTCATGTCACAAAACTGAAGATTCATGCTTAAAACCTGCCAGCCAATTCTTAACGTCTGTCCTGCCTCAGTACTGCAGAGCTTAAAGATCGTAACAGCTGATCGTTCGTGCTTCACTAGGAGCCCACGGACACCATCACGCACACGAGCTCACGTGCACACCCCACCCACTCTCTCAGGTTGTCCCTGCTACAATGCCACCACCATTACACACAACCTGGAGGAAGCACTATAAAGCTCTACTGCCTAGAGGTGACCACCGCACGGACTGCGTGGTGTTACGGTTGGACATACTTGCTCCCTCAGGCTGCTGGGGCATGAACTTTTGGTCACTGCTCAAGCAGGCTGGACTTGAACCCATACAAATTGGGGATAAAGAGGTTCAACATCCCATTACCAATCCTCTGAGCCATGAATCTCCAAAATCACTTATTGTTCGGAAACCTGATGCAATGCCAGGCACAATAGGGAGAGATAATCCTCCTTGCTTGCCATAGTTCCGGTGCATCCATTATCAGTGATAAGGTTCGTGCTCAAGGAACTGCAGTCCAGGGTTATAAGATATTAAAAGGAACTAGCACAGTTAAATATAATATGAGTATACCTGCTTAACCTTGCTTTTTGTATTTTTAATATTAAATATTTTTAAAGTCAGAGTGTTAAACTTAAAAGCCACCACCGTTCCTTTCATCTTCCCGCTTCCATTGGTATAACTGGTACAAAAGCACTCCTGATATTAAAGAGGCTCTGCCGGAGCCGGTAGAATGGCAAAACAAAAGTAGAGGACACTGGCAAGAACCTTATGATGACTCGGTAATCCCTTCAAAATAAAGAGAGTGAAACAACTGCACATTTTGGCCCAATCTTTTTTTGATAACCAGAACTTTTTTTTTTTATGATCAGAAACAAAACTCTTTAACAGATCTTTTTAATGCCTAGTATGAAAAACACATTCAGTAGCCGAATTTCAGTACTCCTTTCAGTTGCTGCTTTCAGATTAACTGGAAACCACTTAATGTTTGTAAAATTTAAACTTTCAATATGAATGGGGCTTTTCTTGTTAGCGCACGTATAAAATGCATCTTAACTTATGTGCACTTCCCACTCTCTAACCTGAAACAAACTGAATTTCAGAGCAACCAAAAAAAAATCCATCACTGCCTTTAAAATAAAAGGGTTTGGCCAATTTCTTCTTTTTTTTTTTTTTTAAGTGGACACAATTTGGCTGAGAACTCGTAGATAAAATTTCAACTGAAAGTGAAATAAAGCAGGTTATACATTCATGAAATTCAGGGAGTAATAACGAACAGCAACTGCCACATCACTTTAGTAATGTCACGTCAACACTACAGCGAGGCAGCAGTTCCTATTCTCACAAATAATGCACTGAGACTAAATGAGGAATAGTGGGGGGGGGAAATCACACATAAAGGGAAAATACATCAGAAAGATTATTGCACAGGAGGCACTGTATGAGAAACAGAATACATTGGCTTCAAAAAAATCTAAATTTCTTTACTCTTAAGTTAATGTAAAAAATACACAGGCTATGCCTCTTTGTAGTGTAGTCACTGTTAAAAATAGACTTACAAACAGCCGCCCATTTAACAGGGAATGTCAGGAAAGAAGAGGGCCTGAATTTTATGGGCATCCCAACTACAGTAATTAGGAAAAGAATAATATGAAAAGAGCCAATGTATAGACCCTCAAATCAAATAGGGTAACTGCATTTTTTCTTTAATTTCCAAATGATATTCATACAGTACCCTAGAACATGTTGATTACCAACTCTTCCCTCTATCCTGCAAAAACATACACCCTGGCAGAGACGAGAGTCCCAACAGACAACAGGGCTCTGAAGGTCTTTCTATCGGTATCCTTTTGCAGGACTGGTGCCTTGACTTCTGAAGTTTATTTTCTTGAATGATTGCTCAGCATGCCAATTCAAACCAACCACTTCCCTTGAGAGGCTACCTTCCATCTCCACTGCAAGTCTGCACACTTAATGTGAAAACAAACAAAACAAAAAACCAACAGCAATTTTTAAAATGTAATATTGTATAGAAAGCTTGGACCTTGTAAACTTGGACCAAGAAACCAAAAATTAAGACCTTCTAGCATGTGGTATAAAAAACCCAAGGAAGTGTATACCTGCCTTCTGACTTCACAGAAAAATCAGAATTTGCATAGGATATACTTTGTGCAAGGCAACAAGCCTCTTCAGTATCTGGAATATAACTAATCTTGCTCAGAGTTCTTCTCTTCATGGATATCAGATATCATCAAATTTGTGTTTTAAGTAGTCTTTCATGACCTTGGCAATGGGTAGTTCATCAAGTAGTTTTAGGTTTTGAAGGCCTATACACTGACGGATTTTAATTCGGCATAGATCTTGCAAGTTTCTGGGCTGTCCTGAAAAGACAAAAGGAACACATAAAAGTAAAATGATCACATTTTAAACACACTTTAAGAGATCATTTACTCAGTAAAATCACAGATGTTTGCTTTTTTCTAAGAGGCAGAGGGAAGGGAAAAATTACAAGAGAAAAAAGGGTGGAAGTTAATACCTTTCTAATGAACAATGATTCAATGAAATCGAGGGATGAATCCTAAAAATATTTTTACATGTACATAGTTTTACTGATGCCAGTGTAAAGTGACATTATCCGTGTGAGGATTCCCACGAGGTGGCAATATATGCTTAAGCACTGTAGAACAGCATAACTCCTCCATTTAACTTTTTGTGGATTTTTTTGTCTTTGTAACACCTAAGGAAAAAACCCCCTCAGCCTCACTTCTTTTCAAACGTTAAGACAAAAACTTCTATGTTCAACTGTAACAGGACTAGGCAGTCTCCTTAGAGAGTGAGGGTTTATAGAAGTTATTCAAGGATTGCATGGCAGAGTCAAAGATTTTTTTTCCCTTCTAATGAAAAGACGAAGCCTTTAGACTTTGGATGCAGCCACAACCTCATCAAACAGAAAGAGATGAAAATATGCGTTAACCACTGTCCACAGAGGAAAAGCTTTACTGACATCACATGAACTTCAGAATTTCTGGCAAGGATTTTCCAAAATAACCGGTTCCTTTTCAAACTCATTCTAAACAGGAAACTGTTAAAAGTCAAACACCTTGAAAAACGGTCCCCCATGCAATATAACATAAGATTAATCTAGCCTTGTATCTGAAAGTACCCAGCAATGGATCCCAAGGAAGAAAGAAAGAAAGAAAGAGCAGAACAACAGCCATTGAGAAATCCTGTCCCAACATACCCTTCTAGCTTTCAGCACCAGTGCCTTTGGGCCTTCCTGAACCAGAGATTGCCCACAGATCTATGTCTTTAATAGCCGTGAATGGCCTGCCCTTTGTAAATCCATCTAATGTTTTTTGAACCCATTTATACTTTCAGTATCCAAAACATCCTGTGGCAACAAATTTCACAATATAATTAGGCGTTGGCTGGAAAACTACAAAGTGCTTGTATTTATTTTAGATCTGCTTCCTGATCACTTCATTGCATGCCTACCATTCTTTGAGTTACAAAAAAAATAACGAATAATTGTTCTCACGCCAGTCATGATTTTACATACCTTTATATTAATCTCTGTCCTCCACTCATGCGTGGTACCTCTTTCCAAAGCTGAAGACTCTATTTAATAACCTCCCACCATGGGAACCACTCCGAACCTCTGACCAAACTAGCTGCCTGCCTTTGTTCTTTTTCCTCATTCTGCTATATCTGTTTTTAAATTATCCCAATAACACATTGAGGGTGTGCTAGTCAATATTTTGATCATCGACTTAACTGTGTCATGGCCTAAAAAAAAGAAAAAAAAAAAAAGGCTTACACAGTTATGGCACCCAATGGCTGTCTGAGTCAAAATACTTGGCACCACGAACAATGTAGGTGCTTATGCCGGTATCAAGATAATCTATTGCCAACAGAGCAACTTACTGCAGTCTTATTATCTGTATAATTGTTAATGGTGAAGGACAGTGCTTGCTTTTGCAAAGAATGGCATGATAATTTTATTGAGCCGACTGCTTGAATCAATCATTTCTTTAAAAAGCAGTACAAAACAACAAAAGCGACTTTAAATAACTTAGATAGACGTTTCCAATTAGCTTTCCTGAGCTGCCACCAGTTAAGCAGGACATTTTTGAAAGAGGAAATGCCTTCTGTACGGGGCTCAACGTGGGCAGGCTTTACGGTGGACAGTAGGATGCTGTCAGCTCACCAGGGACAAACCTGTTCGGAGGAGACGGGAGGGTTTTTCTCACCCGAGCCAGCCCCAGAGCTGGCTCCGGAGCCCGTCCCTTCTTCCATCCTCCTCCTCCTAGTTCAGCAACAAACCTTCTATCAGCTAAATAGACATTGACATTATGAGTTTATTAGACTTTCCTGGTAAGCACAGAGTAAAGAGATTATGAAACTATTTCCTGTTTTCTACTCTGGGCATTTTGTACATGGTTTCAGTTACCCTTTATAGCGAGTTCCTCCTTTTCTCCCCCTGCATGGGTTCTTCTATAGAAATGGGCTGACAGACAGGTATACACTGGGATTTATCTTAAGCACTAAAATTATCTGAGGTAAGCTAGCGGAAGTAACGCATGAAAATAGTCTCAGTCTGTTTTTAAAGAAATCAGATTTGAAATTAAAGAACATGAAAATTTGAGTTTCCTTCATATAAGTTTAAAATACTTTTATTATACTTATCACCAGAGTATCTAAATGTCAATTTATTTTTAATTAATATCCTTCAGCCATGACTTAGAAAACAGATCATTAGTTACTTTGTCCACTGGTGGTTTCTTCCTAGCAATTTCCCCCACCCCCCACCTGAAGGAATGAATTTATACAGATCGGACAACAGCTCAATGCTTGAGCTTCAGGGAAAGAAAAGTTACTTCTGGTAAGAAACCAAGCAGAGGAATCTTTACAGTGATAAAGAAATCATTCTAATGCTTTAAATGTGAATGCAAACAGGGTTCAGAAAGGATGCATCTTTTCAAAGGTTAACTGCAAACAGCAGCGTTAGAGGGTAGAGAGGACTACAGATCTATATGTGTATTTTCTGTAGTAGAGGACACAATAATACAGCTATGAGACACTGATTTCTGGTTTCAGAAATGAATGCCTTTTAATTAACATCCTATGGGTTTTTTGAGAACAAAATGGAACAGACAACTTAAAATACCCAGAAGAAATTGGTCATCAGTTAATTCAAAAAGACCCGATTATCAAATGTATGACATTTTCCCCTGATAAGTCTAAAAATATTTCCTGGGAATGTGTTAACAATGGACATTTCCAGTGTTAAGCACCAGTTGCTACATCTAGTGGCTGTTAGTGTCTTAGGTCACGCCTTGCAAATTCCAGGGTTATTAATGCACTTGTGGTTTATTAGAAACGGTGTCTAGAACACTTACTCATTCTTGGTTGCATCTGAATGAAAAAGAAAAAAAAAAATAAAGGATTACAGACGATGTCAGTGAACCTTGGTTTGGCAAATGAAAAATGTTATTAGTAATTTGGCAAAGTAAGACAAGTTAAATGATGAATAAAGTTCTGTTTAAAAACGATTAGGAAGTAGCAACTTTGGTTATATCCTGCATCACAAGTTTGGAAAGTTATTTAGGCAAATAAGCTAGAAAGAAAGAGAATTAAAAAAGAAAGAAACAAAAAAACCCCACAAACATAAAAGGTAAGATTGACCTAATTACCACTATCATGCAAAACAGTGACATAAAACTACTGAACACCTTAAAAAAAAAACCCCAACACATCCCCGATCCGGTCTCAAAGGGACACCTTGATGATGGCAGTGCTGTTGTTCCGGAGCAGCAGGGTTATTGTTCGGCTGTTACACAACCCAAGTCACCATCAGGGCAGCAAACACCTGCCACTGTTGTAGAGCTGAAGGTTTGCCAGCGTGTTCACCAGAACAAGTTAGATACTTCAGTCAATTTATTTTGCAAGCTTTATAGAGATAATAAAATAAATTAGAAGTATTAATTACAGGAAAGAGATGTATAGTTCATCTTTTGTCTTCCACAGCTCATGCTATGTGCTGTAATGGAAAGCAGAAGTCCCCACCAACGCACTTCTTGTGTACAGTTTCCCAAACATGACAGAAAAGTTTCTTCCAAACAGAAGAAATGTAAAACATAGGGTAATAAAATAAAGAGGAATTGCTTTTTGATTCTTTTTCTTTCTAGAGGCAGCAGACTTCAGTATGTATAAAATTTAAACATTTGCCTAACTCAGTTATTCAACTGCTAACAAAGTAAGTTCCTGAGCTTTTTTCCCCCCTTAAATAATCAATAATTATTTTACTTAAAGAATGAAATAAGCCTTTTAAATTATTATTATTAATAGATTGGCCTTCTCTGATACAGCAAGGGAAAAAATGCATGCTTTAACAGCAAGAAATTCTTACAATTAATCCTGAATTTCCATTCCTTTCCTTTTTGCAGTTTCAAGATTCTTCTGTTATTCTGTCCGGGAGTTTGCTGTTCTATCCCAGAGACAGACAAAACTTACATTTAGGATTTACTATCTATACAAAGAACTGTATGTCACTGTTACAACTGCTCCGCAGCTTATGCATTTAGACCTGTGCCTGCCCGTTTTTCCTATGCAGACCGTGCTCCCCAGGATATAAAACACTAACTCATCTAATAGGTCTATATTTAAGGATCATTAAGGTGTAATATTAGACCTAGTACCTCTGACAACACTGATTTTTAGGGATTCTCACCCAGTTTTAAGCAAAAGTGTTGTAAAGGTGGAAAGGGGGAATCGCTACCAGTTTCTTCCACCAAAGATACAAGAGCACCTGCGCAAAGCAAAACTCATTAACTGACCTGTTCCGTTACCCAAGAGAAAACTTAGGAGTAACTAATACGCTTGTAGGCTGCAAGAAGATCCTCTCTGATGTATTGTTCTACCTACTAAAAAAACTCCACTTTTAAAAGAAAACAATCAGTGTCATTGGTTTGAAGTGGATAGGCAGTTTCTGAAGAAGTTAAAAAATGAAAAATAACATCAGTGACATATTTCAGAAGCCACCCACAGTTTTCTCTGCAATATTAATACATTTCTCTAGCAAAAACCTTACAGTGGTAAGTGGTATTTCTCAAACTGAGCCTCTGCCCCCCTGGGAATTGTGAAAGGCTGAAAACAGTAGCAAGAAACCATTTGGTAGTTTCTTTTTTGCTACAAAAGAAACGTAAAAATAAAAGTTTTGTGAAACATTGAAAAAAAAAAAGTTGAAAACAGGCTGACGTATGGCTGGCAGCAGCTCAGTTCCTCTAGAGTATCAGAATAAGTATTTATATCCACAGCTAACTGTTAAATCCATCCCTTATTTCATAACTGTGAAGGAACTCAGCTACTGCCAGCAATTAAA